TGTGTTAACCTTACATAATAAAATCAGTCTACAGCTCTGCAGTAGATAGAACTACAGTACTGTAATACATGATGTTTTCACCGGCATGAAATTGCTTTGGATTTCATGCAGACTTTTCTAATGCTCATTAGCTTCATTTCTTCAGAAGTGTTTTTGTTCTCAGAAAATAATAAGGGAAGGTTAAGATAAACAAATAGATCAGAATAAATAGGCTGTACAGTAAAATACACCAAGAGAAAGGAAGGGATTATAATTACTGCAGTTTTGAAAGATACTAAGTTATTGGGACTGGCAAAGAAATAATCATTTGCATAGGTATCTGTCATGTGATTATTTATCACATAATTTATGTGCAGCCTTGACGGGCTACAGTGATGAGCACGCTAGAAATATGATGGATGAATGAAAGGCACTCAGTGAGGTGAATGTGAATCAGAAAGTCAATATCAATTTGAAAATCAATCAGAAAGAATAAGACTGCTTAGTTTGTGTGCACAAAATACTGGGTTAGGTGCTGTCTGTAAAGGCTAGGAGATTTCTAAATCTTACAGAAAATGTTCTCTAGCAATGTTCAAAAAGTCTGCTACAAAATGTATGTGATCAGTTGTTTATAGCTCAGGAAATTATGATCTTTGTTATAGTAGAACCTTCTCTTTCATTTTCAGGAGCCTGTCCTGACTATCTGGGGTTTAGAGGAGAGCTGCTTCCCTTTCAGAAACACAAGAAGGGCAGAGTTGCAGTAACTCCCTGACCTTTAGCTAAGAACCCTATGGTAAAGTAATTCTTTTGATAACAGCTTTGGTGGAGACACTTGGCTGCTCTCATCTCTGTCTCAATTTGAAAGGCATCGCAAGAGAAAAAGCCCTATTGTTCCTATTCTGAACAACATCAATCTCTTAAAAAAAAAAAAAAAAAAAAAACAAAAAAAAAACCTGCACATTTATACAAAAAACTACTTAAGGGCAGTCATTTTCTCTTACTGTTTTTTGTAGTCTAGTACAATAGGATCTCACTCTTTATTGGGAGCTTTTAAGATTACATTTATTAAAATGCATCTAAAAATACATTGAAGATCATTAAGGTTAAACGCCAAGATCTCCAACCTTAGGAAATACCAGAATGAATGTTGATAACCTTTAGTTTAGGTTATACATCCTCCTTTTGAAAATGTCTTTTCAATGAACTATTTCTGACTGATTCCCAGCTTTGTTCATTGCCCAGGAAGACTTACTCTCAGTGAATGAGCAAAAGTTCAGTATTTCATTCCATTCTCTTGTTCAGAGTTTGGCAACATGCTTTGAATACTGCACACCACCTAATTTATCATCTCAGTACAAACTAATATTCACATGAGATTTTCTATGACACTGCTGTAGTATTTGAATGTGGCAGAGGAATAATTTAATCATTGTCTTGGTATAAGATCCATATGTCTGTATTTCAAAATCTATTCCTCCTTGGTAGAGCTATTACAGAAAGAAAGAATCATGTCTTTTTTTTTTTTTTTCCCCCTCTAGAATTCTTTGCTTTCTGTTCACACAATAAGTAGGGTGAGAGTTCTCAAAGCAAAGGCCTGACTAATTTTAGCAGATTTTAGTGAATACTGGTAGAACATTGCCTGCAGGAAAACAGGAAAGAAAGAAGGAGGGAAGAAAGAAAAAGTACAAATATTGTACTTACCAGAGGAGCTTCATAAATTTTTGGATCCAACAAAATGTATGATAAAAATGCAAATGATATATTTAAGGTCCATTATATTCATTGTCATAAGTTACAAGTAAACATAAATGGAATGCAAAGTACGCAGAAAGTTACTTTTACACATGCTGACAAAAATACAAGAATTCTGTCTGCTAGTACAAAAACAGAAGGAATACCTTTTTCATATTTCTAATATGGAAAATGTGCAACTTATTACTTTACATCACCTAGCAGTGTTTGCATAATTAAATGGAGTCTCTTTCACAGGCACTTTCCACTATTAAACACCTTTTTTCCCCCTACAATTATAATTAAATGAGTTAATATACAAAGTTACTGTCATTCTCTGCATGACAAAGAGCAAAATGAGAAAAACTGGTAAGACCTATCAATTACTAAGTTAAAACATATGAAGAGTAGCTAGGTGCTTCATGTAGGCTGTGGTCTTATTTCACTTTTTATTCAGAGAGTAAAATGCAACTACAATTTGGGTAGGAAGACAGTGCCAGCTCACTTGATGGCAATGACTATGAAGCCAACACGGTATTGACAGGGAGATATGGTTAAAAGTGGGAGGGGAGTGTCTCTCCTTGGTAGGCAGAAATTATCATTTGACACTATCTTTAACTCATCTTCTTAATTTACTTTTTTTCCCCTTAAATCAAAATAATGCCAAAATGTAAAGACTGCTAAATGGAAATACCATCTCTAATTGTCAGGTAACTTTTATCTGCCCTGCCAGACCCTAAGTTCGGGGATCTGATTTGAGTTATGTGATACAATTAAGAATGAACACATGATTATTTCCCCAAAATTTGTGCTGAGGATTTTTATCTAATGAGGTCACCATATTTACTTGTTTTTTTTCCTACAACTTCAAACCAGATTGTCAACTTCTACAGTTTCTCGTACTTGAATCTTTTAAAGTAAATGCTAAAGTTTGAGCTAAGCAAAAACTTTCTTAAAGATTGCAAAGTAATACAGTTGCTACTGTAAATCATTAAAGTAAACTATGCGAAAACACAGATAATCTATCCATACTCCACTTCGGGGGATCTTGATTGTCTGAGTACCAACCCCCCATCCCTTTATTTTTTCTAAAAATTCAGTGTAATCTGAAGACATAGTACTACCTACTATGCCTGATATTCTTCAATGCTGCCTAGAGGCACCAGTCTTTATGAGAGTTTGTTTGCACGTCCTTAGGCATTTTTTGCAAAATCTGAATTTTTGTTTTATTTTTAAAATTTTTAAGATATTTACAGTGTATTGTAATCATTGTAATAGTAAAGTATTATAAAAGGTTCTGTTCTCCTAAATTTGTAAATTAACTAACTCGAGAATGATGCTCACTAGTTGATATCACTACAATTTCTATGTCATATAAGTAGATATAGCACTGAATATAGGCCTGTTAGCTTCTGTCCTATAGGTTGTACTTCCTCAAATCATGTACAAGTACTGTCTAGTCCAGCCCTTGAAAAGCATTTTAGCAACTATAATGAGGCAGAAGATGCATTCTTGCTTTAATTAATGTGTGCTCATAATTTTAGAAATGTCTGAGTAATTTCACAGGTCTATCTTTTTTTTTCTGGTCATGAACAATCCCTGTGCAATTACATTTCAGTGATGTTAACTGAAGCTTTATCTACTGATCCATCAATTCCATACAGAAAATAATCTGAAAGTTAAAGCTTGATGAGCCATCAAGATTATATACCCTATTTTATCTTCATAAAACTATGTAAAAGAAATTCATTTATTGTTTAAACAAGATGTGAAAAAGTTATTCAACAGCACATCTCAAAACAAAACCAATTTTCTATCTTCAGAATACATGCCTCAGATCAGCTTCTAAAATACACTTTAAAAACAAGACCACATTATTCTTTTCCCTTTTGTTTCTCAGTTGACACAATATTGGCAAAATTAGTTAGTTTTACAAAAGCAACATTTTTTCATAAATTCAGCTAATCCGCGTCATACTTCACTGTTTTACATTTTTTTTTCTCCTCAGACTTACCAATGCTCGAAAAAAAAAAAAAAATATTCAATTATTTAGATTTAGTACAAAGACTACTTTTGTTGAGTGCTTGCACTTACATCTTTATCACTTGATACAATACGTAACTGAAGCCAGAGTGCAAATAACTTATCACATCCTGAGTCATGTCGTGAAACAAGTTCTTTGTTGTTTGGGAGTCTCAGTCCAAAATAACAGTGCCAGGGTTTTTGCTATTTAAAATTGCAATTATGCACATAGACTTAGAAAAGCTGGAGAATATCTTTCCCTGAGTGTAACTGCTACGATATCTGTTTGGCTTTTTCACCAGGAAAAGCACATCTGGGTGCATAGAAAGTTTATGTATCCTCCAAGAAAAAATTAGCAGCTTTGTAGTACTAGTGTTTTGTTATGATCATATTTTGCTATTCAGGAGTTTCTGAAAGATACTGTGCATTTTTAAAGAAGAAATCTACGATCTGTAAGGAATTGTAAGATAATAAACAATGAGAGAAGTATGAATGAAAATATGAAGTTTTAAAAAGAATGAATGAAGGTCAAAAATAGTTCCATAATTGTGAAGAACAATGTTGGTTAAAAACTTACTAATGACATGGATTGTAAAAGGAGACAAAGAATGAAAATAGATAAATTAATTCTTTTTTAAAATTCATTTATTTTAATAACTTATCTATGATAACCATGTATGTACACCACATATATGATTTGATATTTTTTCCTCTTATACATAAGGAATGTGAAGTAGAAAAGACAATAGCCAGTATAATAACTAAAAATGATTAAATCCTAAAAGACTGATTGCTGTTTCACTCAACACATAGCTAAGCACCATGTAGTCATTTACTGATGGGATGGGGGAGAGAATAAAAATAAATGAACAGTAGAACTCATGGGTTGAGATAAAAACTATTTACAAAGACAGGAGAAAGGAAGAAGAAAAAAAGGGTAATTGTTATGACAATTATAGGTGCATGTGAAACATGATCAGTCTCATCACCCACTGACCAGTGCCCACGTAGTCCCTGTGCAAAGGCAGTCTGCCTGATGAACTCTGCCCTTTTTCAATCTTGCCTTTGACATGATGTGGTATAGCATGGAATATCCCTTTGGTCAGTTAGGTCCTGGTCCTATCACCTCCCAACCCCTTGTACATCTCAGGCCCCCTGCTGGCAGGGCAGTACAAGAAAACTAAAATATCCTTGACTCCATACATAACTACTCAGTGACAACCAGAAACACTGGTGTGATATCAACCTTGTTTTTCTCCTAAAACCAGAAGTTACCAGACACTGAAGAAAAATAACTCTGTCCCAGCCAAAATGAAGACACTTCTAAAAGATGCCTTGAGTCATGTTTTTAAGGTGCCTGACTAAGCAAGCTGAGCACCAGGTAAGTGGAAATAGTATTCGTAAAGAAGCACAGTCCAAATTCTGAAAACTGAAGCCATTTCTTCACAGTCTCCCAGAAAGCTAACTAATGTCAACCAGTTTAAATCACAGCCAGTAGGGAATAATCTCTGGGCTCCTATGTCCTCTATCCTGGTCAGACAACAACAGTTAACAGATAATATTATAATTATATGATAAGGCTCAAAATGCATTTGTGTTCAAGTTGAGGTGATTTATTGTTCTATTCTCAAAGCTCCACCAAACAACCTCCCCTATTTACATAATCAAGGCATCAAAATCTTCAGAGCAAGGCATATGACTAGCAGTGGGCTGTGCTGTGTGTGTTAGGATCACTTATGTGTAAAATGAATCAATCAGGCTAAAAACAAATGAAAGAGGTGCACAGGTGCCAGCTGTGTGCTGTTACATGATGGAACAGTTCAGGCACTGCTGTGGCCCTGGCTAAGGTGCGGCTGGTCAGAACTGCAGATTAAATTTAGGGAATGAAGTGCTACACTGAAATACTTTCTGTCTGTTAAATCTTAAACCGGGTGACACAACAAGAGTCTGTGAGAATAGGTGAGATGGGGCCATTAGGCATCAGCTTTCCCCTCTCCCCCCCAGCATTTCCAAGTTCAGAAAGGCTTGTCCCCTATAAAGTCAGAAACGTAAGGAATGACTATGAAGAATTCATTAACAAAACTTATTTTTAATTATGTTTGTGAATATGTACTGCCTTGAAAGGAATACCTAACATTTTATGGCTGTAAAAACAAACACACCAAAGAGCTTGACAAGAATCTGAGAGGGTGTTAGCCATTCATAACCCCACTATACAAGGGAATAGGACAAGCTGACCAAAAAGCCTTGCTGCATGAGACTATAGGGCAGTAACATGCCATTTGCCTGGCCTCAAATAAGATGAAAGCATGGGGACAGCAAGTAGCAGTACAGGAAAAATCTGCTGCTCTTAGAAGGATGACCTGCTGGGACTGCATCTAAACATCCTACAAGGAGTTGGTGGGAATAGTGGAGAAATACTCTTCGTACACAATGGGAGAGAAATTTTGATGACAAGAGGGGCGGAGAGAGAGCAGTGGAGAAGTGCTGTAGTAGTAGAGAAGGTAAGTGGAGAGAAGTAGCTCTATAGAAAGGACTGAAATGAAGGACACTAAGAAAAATGTACCATTCATGTAAGTTAGCAACTACACTCTGAAGACTATCCATGACACTGGATGTTGTAAACTAGAAATATCACTTTCAACTTATTAATGTTATTTAACAGGGAACAGGTGAAAGGGAAAAAAAAAGATGAATTTGCAGGAGGCTGAAAGAAAAATCCTCAAGGAGAGGTGAACTCAAGAGGCAAACTCAGAAGAGGCAGAGAGAGCCATGCTATGTAATAGCACCTCCCTGTCACCAAGGCTGTGCAATGGAAGCAGCAGGTGAGCCCCTCTGTATGCAGGGGGAGCCAGCTCTGGTTACTACTCTGCATGACCAGCTCCATTTGCCCAGGCTGCTAATTGTCATTTGTTTCTGCGGGATGAATAGGAAGTGCTCTTGGATGAGTATGATGGCTGATCTCCACAAACTGTGAACGGGGCTGTATCTGCTGGCCATTTATTTTGTCCATTCCTATCGCAAACTTGATCCTACTGCGCTTTCTGTGGAAATGTGGCTCTGATCCCTGCATCAGGTGCTTTCGTTTCTCAGAATTGTTGTGTTTTAACCCAGGAGATAGTGAAGCATCATGCAGTTCCCCCCCTTTCCCCCAAGGGATAAGAGAGAGAATGGGAAAAAAGTACCAAGTAGAACTCATGAGTTTAGATAAAAACTGTTTTCTAAGATGTGGAAAAGGAAGAGGGAGATATTTATATATAATATTTATATACATTTGCTGTAACTGATGTATAAGCAGTTGTTTACCACCCATTGACCAATGCACAGCTTGTCCTTGATCAACAGAAGTCTGACTGATAAACTCCCTTCCCTCTTTTAACCTCTCCTTTCACATGTCATGTGCTATGGAGTATCCCTTTGGCCAGTATAGGTCAGATGTAGGAATGATTACATACAGTATTATGTAGCTATTTTAACTGAGGCAGAGTTCTTCTTAAACTAAAAGACTGATAAGTGAACATAAATATTCTAGAATAATTTCATGAATGAAAGAACTAAGAACAGCATTCAATGCAAGCTAGATGTAACAAAATTACTAATAACACTATTTAGTATACCAATCAAGAAAAGTGGAATGGTTGTGATAGAGTGCAAAATTCTTCTGTAGCAATGGAGAAAGACATCAGGAGTACCTATTGTCAATACTGAAAGAACTTATCTAAGAAAGAGTGAGATTATGGTTCTAAACTCAGCAAAAAGCCAAGAAGCAAGACACTGCCAAAAAACCTGAGACTCTCCATTGTTTCCAGAGGTTCTTCCAGAGTGATTTAAAACTGCTGTCTTATAGACATCCGAGTTAATTTTACATCTTTGTGATGGCTACAGAGCCTGGCTCCAGCTGAACAAATCTGATGCCTGTATCTTGTCTCCATGTGAGGCATTGACTTAATTTCTCAGAAAGAGGGTGAGAGCATATTTTACATTTTAGGATATAAAACTGGCGGGGAAAAAAAAAAAGTCACAGAACTATGTATTGTGAAACTTCAAGAATAACCTACCATGAATAGATATATTCAATTGAGATAATAATCAAGAGTACTTAAGAATTGACTGAGGAGATACCTGTTCCCCTGATGTTTACTTTTAATAAATCTCCAGACAAGAAAACTCCAGCAGCTTGAAAAAATGTTAATCTTCCATATTGAATAGCTGGTAAGCCTTGTATCAGTTCTAAACAAAAACAGAAATGCTGGTATAAAATTTCACTGATTAGGAGTTCAGCAATAGCAACAAAATTAACATCAGCCAAGATGGTTTTACATAAATTAGATCTAGTCAAATAAACCTGTTTGATTAGATAATAAATTTGGCTCAAAATATAGATGTACAGATGCCATATAGTCAGGCCATGATATATTTATTACATTGTGGTCCTGAATTCCAATTACCATTACATAATATCAATTAATTACATAAAAAAAATTAAGAACTAACCCAAAGATGAATCTCAAAGGATTATTTGTCAACTGGGATTGAGCACCAAATCTCTCTTCCCAGTGGAGCTCTATAGAGATTAGTTTATTCAGCATTCTGCTTGTTGGAGTATTCTAAGTAATGGCCCAGGAATAAACAAAGAAAAAAAATCACTGGTAAATCTGATGGATGACATACCTATTGGAACAATGACTTCTGAAAGACGAAAACAAGGAAACTCGATTGATATAGTATTTCTAAGTAAAATGGATCCACATACAATCAGTTTCAACAGAACCAAATGAGAAGCAAGATGTTTTCTATAAAGCAGTACAGGCAACTTACATATAAGGAAGGGCCATATAAGGAAAATCAAGATTCCAAGGAGAATTTAAGAGCTTTAGTGGACAAGCAACTTGATGTTTCTTATCAGTGAGGTGTCATGGCAAAAAGACTAATAGGAAAAGCAGAAACAAGGCAATGAATGTTTCACTGTTATTAGATTTAAAGAGATGCAATACTGAAATTCATTCACAATGAGAATGCCTCCACTTTTTAAAAATGTTGAAGCAAGATGTAGTTTGCTCAAAATTCATGGAATTTCCACAAAACCTCTTTGAATTACAATATGCTAGGCTTTCTTAATGAGGCCTAAATGCTCGTAAGACAAGCTAGAGATGTAAGTTAGTAAGAAAATAGTTTCATTTTAATGGGAAGCAAGCATCAGATACCAACAATTTCCTTGATTTAGTAGGTTAAAATCTTTGACCTATTAGATTCAGCGCATAAAACCTGAAACCAGATAAATTCAAGTGAGAAACAAGCCAAAATATTTTGTAGCTGGTACTGAAGTAGTAGTTACAGATGTATTCCAAGTGGGAATATTCTTACTACTGGCCACTTCTTGAGCCCGTTCTATCTAGTTTTCTTCCCTTTCTCTCTTCTCATTTAATTTAAGTGGTGAAGTGTTCTGTCTGAATATCTGTTTATTTTTGTCTGCATTAAACTGATAAAAAATAATTATCTGGAAAGCCAAATAAAAACTAGTTTTTGAAGTAAATTACTACAATTCAAGTGCAAACAGCGGAGTTAATGGCATTAAACTTCCAAATGAAAAAGTAGTTTTAAACATATTGCAAAACAACTGCATACAAATTTCATACAGAATAAAGCAAGGAAGTGAATACTTGGCAGACAATTGGGGATCAGAAGAAGATGAAGATGTATGTATTTTTATTAACTTATGTTAAAAGCAAAACTATTTCTATGTCTTCCACTTTTTTTTTTTTTTATAAAAAGTGAGCAGAGGAATGTTGTTTTCCAACTCCACTTCATATACACTTACAGTCTCCCTCTCTCTAACAAATACAGTCCTAAAGTGCTAAACTTCATCTGCAATATGAGATTTAAACCTAAACCTAAAGTGAGTATGGGAATGGCCTCCAAACCAGCAGCTCCTCACACAAATATCTCTACATCCACAGTTCCTTTTAGGAACTAGCTCTCCAGTTCCACCACATCTATGGATCAGAATTGTCTCTTTTTTAATGGCCATCCTAAACTAATGCTCAATCAAGATGTTTAAAAGCAAAGTCTGTACAGTGTGGTACATAGTCACTCCTGAATACCTGCATACTCCTCAGAAAAGCTAGGCTTATAGCTTATAACATTAGTTATAGTTTTAAGAGACTTTTCCAACTTTTTTTGAGAACTACAAACACCCTTAGGGAGCAGGGGAGGGAACACCCTTCAATTTATTACCGCATTACTTGGAGAATACAATCAAGATTTTAGACATGCTGTGACAGCCTGTACAATCAATGGATATTAAGATATTATAATCACAAAATAAACAGGAGAGTTAGGCAAAGTAGACCATGATAACAAAAGAGAATAAATGGAAGGCTT